AGAGAGAGAGAGAGAGAGAGAGAGAGAGAAACCGAGAGAAAGTGAGAGACTGACAGATGGATAAATATAGAAAAAGACAGAGACTGTTGCAGGTGGATAGACAGATAGTTGGAAAAAGACAGGGAGATAATGACAGAGACTGATCGTGAGACATAAAGACAGAGAGACAGAGAGACAGAATCAGATAAACAGCTTATATATAGAAATCTGATACCGATCAATCTGCATCCGCGAGCATGCAGGAACACATTCAAATAACACAGCAGGTGTTTCCGCCGTCTTATAGTATCACAACGAGCCAACTTTGATAAAGCATACAAGGTCCACAACCACAACTGAGAGACGAAGTCGCTTGAAGGACAATAAAGGCTTCTCAATACAGTTGCTCACATTACCAGCCATAAACCCTGATCATGAGCTTAAGCTGGACACTTTTATAACCTTACCGCTGAACTTCCTCCCTAATTTTTGGGCCGGTGAAAGTTATTTAGCAGGGCTGTAAGTGGCGCGAAGGGTTGTCGGGGAGTTTGGAGATGAAAAGCGGACAGGGTTTGGCCTTGTAGCGTCAATACTGAACCCGTCGAGGAGAACAGTGCTGTCTCTTTTTACGACTTGCTCTGACTTCGGAACGATATCCCTTTTTCAAAAACGCAGGCGACCCAGGGAACGTTGATGTGTTTGTATTTGTATTTGAAATAATAGTTCCCACAACTGGACGGTCGCGTGGTCTATTATGGGTTGCCCTTCGACCGATCTTTTGCATCGACCAATGCTCTGTTTGATGTCTCCGTCTGTTTCTGTCGACTGTCCAGATGTCTTGTTTATGTGTTTTGGCGCGGTATTTGGTTGTCATTTAATGGTCCGGTGAAATCTGAGGCACTTCGAATCACTTGTTTTGTTTTGTTTTGTTTGGATTTCTATTCCACTTTTAAAAAAAAAATTTTTTTTTTACTGAGGTAGTGTTGTTCTGTCAAAAGAAGAAACATGTTTGTTCAAAGGTTGTTCTTTTGGTTTGCTTGATAACAACAAGAAAACTGTTTAGGAGGGAACTGAGGGAAAAAAGACAGAGAAAAAGTGGAGGGTCGTTTTACTGCCCAAGTATCAAACGGATGGAAGACGTATGGGTCAACACCATACTTATTACCGGCCAAAAGTAGGGAGGAAGTTCGGGGGTAGGTTTTAAACACACACACACACACACACACTCACGCACACACACACATCTATTTATCTGTCTATCTATGTGTATTTTGCGTACGCACACACACATACATACACAATTTTACATATCTATTCATCTGTCTATCTATCTATGTATCTAAACTCGCACAATAAAGCCAAGGAACAAAAATTCAAAGAAAGATAACCGAAGAACTGTGTTACCGAATTTATTCATTTTTTCAAAAAAAAAAAAAAAGATGCTTTCGACTCTCTAGATTAAGTGTGTACAATTTCAGATATCCACAAAAACGAAAAGTTCATGTAAAATGAGTTACTTTACTTTTCCGATCCAGTGGCCATTTGGGTTCTAGCCCTTCGGTTTGATGTAAAATGAGTTAAAATCACACTGGTCGGATTTCAAAAGTCTGAATAGCCAAAGTTCTTCATGAACATTGTCAATCGTGGGTGTAGCCACCCCGTTTGACTAAACACTCGATAAAGCGTCGACGCATAGATAGGACATGCCTTTCGGAGAACTTGTTGCGGAAGGTTCTGCCACTCCTGGACGAGGCAGCCCAAGAGTTGTTGCAGGTTTTGTGTAGGAGGGTGGTTGTCCCTTATCCACTGGTCAATGTGATCCCAAATGTTTTTTATTGGGTTCAAATCCGGACTGCAAGCTGGTCAGTCCATGCGGGTGACAGCTCGCTGCTGCAGGAAGTCCCCCGCGATGCGTGCGCGAGGTGGCGCGGCGTTGTCCTGCAGTACAGCCTGGGGTCCAATCTGCTGCAGGAAAGGAACAACAAGGGGACGCACGATTTTCTCTCTGTACCTTGCCGCGGTCAAATTGCCCTGCATATGGTACAGGGGGTCTTGTGGTGAGCTGAGAAGCCTCCCCACACCAGAACAGACCCTCCAACGCAGGGCGCCACCTGCTGGATACACTCAGGGAGGAACAGCTCTCCTCGGCGCCTCCAGACGTGGGCTCACCTGTCTGGGAGCAGCAAGTTGAATCTGGATTCGTCCGAGAAGACTACATTGTACCACTGACGTCGTGTCCACTGTGAATGGCGAGCAGACCACACCCAGCGAGCTGCTTTGTGGGGCGCGTGTGCCTTGGGCGCCTGGCAGGGACACGAGAAGCGAACCTGGCTCTACGGATAAGGTTCCTTACCGTCTCCTCGCTCTCGTGGACATTGGCTGTCACCCGTAGTTGGTCCCTGATGTGGTTTGCAGTGGTGGTTCGTGACGTCACGGCCTGCCTGATGATGAACCTGTCGATGCTGTCGTTTGTCAAACGGGGTGGCCCTTGTTGAGATCTGTCTTGGACCATTCCGGTCGCTCGCCATCGTTCTTGCAGCCTCTATATGACTGATGGGGACACTCCAAGTCGATGTGCAACGACTGGGAACGTGGAGCCATCTTGGAGTCAGGCCAGGGCTCGTCATCTGTCGACGTCAGGCAGCGAGCGTCGTTGGACCTTCGTGTTGTAATGGAACTTGGCTGAAAAACGCTGGCTTATAAAGAGTTGTAAGTGAGCTATATTCATAGCTAAGACATCTGTTTAGCACGTGCCAAGCTTAGTTTTAGCTAACAGTCCCTATGCCAATGTTGCTGAAGCAGAGAAATTTAGCCCATTTTTCATGCTTTTCGGCTGTGTTTCAGAATGTCCTGCGCCGTCGCTGTGAAGCTGGTGCCGGCAAATTTGCTGTACAGGCAAACTGTGTCAAGTCGTCAGTGCGTGTGCCAAGTTTGGTTGACTGAACTTAACGAGTTTGCGGGATATTGAAGTTCAAATTTGACAGGTGAAAACACAAGTTGTTCCTTGACTTTTCGGGCGAGTTTATGTGTATCTTACGTACGCACACACGCATACACACGCATATCTATTTATCTATCTGTCTATGTATCTATGTGTATCTTACGTACGCACACACAGCAAAAGGGACAGAAGGCATTTTCAAAAGTAACCATCCCAAGACAAACAGGCCTCTCTACCTACAAACTTACTATAATATTATTACCTCCCTAACCTCACAAGCAGAGATTTTCCCGCTGTTTACCCCCCCCCGCCCCAACCACTCCTACCCAATTGCTCAGTCTAAAACCACCGTGCATAGTTCCAATTGTATGTATACATTTGAGAGAGTTGTGTCTCTTGAGTCATGTTTACTTACGTAATTGTTCCCCCTTTCGGCATCTTCCAGTGTTGTAATTGGCTCACGGCATCGCTGAAAATGGCGGGTTTATTCTGTCTATTCTGTTTATGGCTGGCGCTTGGGGATGTTTAAGCAAGCAAGGTTAGATTGTTTCTTTGAGCATTTGATTCTTATTTAAAGTTCATAGGTCAGAGAAGTTTCAGATTGCCATGAGAACTGAGGCGTCGGTATCAGTGCTCTTTGTTCGTGTATATAGTGGTAGATTAAATGCATGCCGTGCACGCACTAACACACGCACATGCACACACATACACACACACACACACACACACACACACACACATGCACATACACAAACACATACACACAAACAAGCAAACAGACATACACACCCCCTCCCCACA